TGATGGGGCTGGCGATGGTGATGGGGACGGTGATGGTGATGGGGCTGGTGATGGCGATGGGGCTGTGGCTGGGTCACCAAGCCAGGAAACATGAAATTATGACTCTGCCCTTAATTGGTTTGGTGGTGGACTTGGTAGTGTCAGGTCAATGGTTGGACTGGGTGATCTTAAAGGTCTTTGCCAACCTCAACAATTCCACGATTCTATGATTCTATGAGCGTGGTGACATTGAAGGGGCTGGTGATGGTGATGAGGATGGTGATGGGGACAGGGCGGGTGATAAGCATGGTGACATCGAAGGGGTTGGTGATGGTGATGAGAACGGTGATGGTGATGAGGACAGTGATAGGTACGTTGACGGTTATGGGGCTGGTGATGAGTATGGTAACGTCGAAGGGGCTGGTGATGGTGATGAGGATGGTGATGGGGACATTGATGGGTACGGTGATGGTGATGGGGCTGGTGATGAGCATGGTAACATCAAAGGGGCTGGTGATGGTGATGAGGATGAGGATGAGGATGGTGATGGTGATGGGGCTGGTGATGGTGATGAGGATGGTGATGGGGACAGTGATGGTGATGGGGTTTGTGACAGGACCTGTGATGGTGATGGGGCTGGCGGTGAGCATGGTGACATTGGAGGGGCTGGTGATGGTGACAAGGATGAGAATGGTGATGGTGACGAGGATGAGAATGGTGATGGGGACAATGATGGTGCTGGTGATGGTGATGAAAATGAGGATGGTGATGGGACCGGTGATGGTGACGGGGCTGGTGGTGATGGGGTTTGTGATAGGACCTGTGATGGTGATGAGCATGGTGACATCGGAGGGGCTGGTGATGGTGACAAGGATGAGAATGGTGATGGTGATGGGGACGATGATGGTGCTGGTGCTGGTGATGAGGATGAGGATGAGGATGGTGATGGGGCTGGTGATGGTGACAGGGACAGTGATGGTGATGGGGTTTGTGACAGGACCTGTGATGGTGATGGGGCTAGTGATGAGCATGGTGACATTGGAGGGGCTGGTGATGGTGACAAGGATGAGAATGGTGATGGTGATGGGGACAGTGATGGTGATGGAGATGGTGATGGTGATGAGGATGAGGATGGTGACGGGGCCGGTGATGGTGATGGGGCTGGTGATGGTGATGAGGATGAGGATGGTGATGGGGCCAGTGATGGTGACGGGGCTGGTGGTGGTGATGGGGTTTGTGATAGGACCTGTGATGGTGATGGGGCTGGTGGTGAGCACGGTGACATTGGAGGGGCTGGTGATGGTGACGAGGATGAGGATGGTGATGGTGATGGGGACAGTGATGGTGATGAGGATGGTGACGGGGCTGGTGGTGATGGGGTTTGTGATAGGACCTGTGATGGTGATGGGGCTGGTGGTGAGCATGGTGACATTGGAGGGGCTGGTGATGGTGACGGGGCCGGTGCTGAGGCCGGTGATGGTGACAGTGCCGCCGGCGGTGCCGGTGCCCGCAGGTGAGCGCCACGGGCAGCGTGCTGCTGAGCGAGGTGGTGGGCACCATCAAGCTGAAGGTTTTCCTCTCGGGGATGCCCGAGCTGCGCCTGGGCTTGAACGACCGCGTCCTCTTCGAGCTGACCGGACGTGAGTGCCGCCGGGTGGGCTC